CAGCTTCCAAACCTTACCATCACCATCCTCCCTGAGAATGTAGTGCTTCCCAAGCTGGATGTGACTGTTGCCAGCCAACACAATCTGGACTGGGTCATTCACCTGGTCCAAAGACTTGACCATTGTTGCAGCACTCTTTGCTTTTGCTGTAGCAGAAGGCCCTGGGCCACTTCCACAGCACTCAGCAAAATCAGCTTGGAATTGCTCATTGATGGCCAATAAAGTCTTGTACTCTTTGCCTTCCCTGCCCTTCAGCTCCTTGGCCAAAAGCAGAAGCACCAGGCGGATTTGGAACTTGCCAAAAGGGAGGGCTGTTTTCTCCAGTGGCAGCCCAGATGCCTCAAGTGTCTGCCAAGCTGCAACCATGAGGTGCTCTGCTTTCATGATGTCATCAAAAGCCTTCTTCTGCTTGAGCTTGTCAAAGTCAGATTTGCAAATCATTTTGCTGATTCCATCTCTAATGAAGCTCCTGGGTGCGGTCACTTGGGTGGCACACAAAGCCACCCTCAAGAAAGGCAAGGTGGTGGTGCCAGCTTTGAAATCTACAGAAGCCACCAAAGTGCTGAACTCCTCTCCAATCATGACACTGGCACCAAAAGAGCGTCCTCAGCTGCAAAATCCATATCAAAATAATTATATAGGCTGTAATGCCTGTGGGTAGCCTGGAAAGGCTGCAGCTTGAGCAGTTGCAAGAGAAATTGAAAAAAGCCTGCACAAGCTAGTTTTAGCCATGTATGCAAACAGGTTTCCAATGACATCCAGGTACTTGAGCAGCTGAAACTGCTCTCCTCCTGCAAAGGTGCCCACAAACTCTCCTATGTGCTTCATGTAGCCTTTGCAGGGTGGGTTGCTCGAAGATGCTTGGGCAATAGCTTTCCCCAAATCCTTTGTGGCCTGCATCTCATAGGTCTTGGCAATGGTCAGCATAACTTCTAGCTCTGTAGGTGGCTTCAAAACACAATGGTCACCTCAATGTGGCTTGGTTTGGACTCCAAGTGGCAACCAATGTGCCACCAACAGGCTGCCAAGAACAAAGAGCAAACAAAAAGTACAAGTCTCACCAAGTGGCTATTGAATGCCTGCTGTAGCAAGCTTGGCAAAGCTGGAACATGCAGTTCTACTTGCTCGGAGACAATGGTCCACATCCATCCCTCACTCAAAAGCTCTGCCAAATCATCTTGCTTTGCCATGAGCTGCTCCACACTGGTATTTTCATTGTCCATAGTGCATTTATATGCCAAAGCCTTGAGGAAGCTGGTCGTATGGGATGCACTGATAGTGCAGCACCTCTCTTTTCCTGAAGGCTTGGCAAGCATCCCATTGGATTGCTCATGCAAATTAGTGTTTGCCAAAATCATGGCATGCCTTGCAGCTGCATCATGGGGCAATTCAACTGCCACTGGTTCTCTGATTTTGTTCTTGTCCCACCCAACTTCACTAATAGCAATGCCTTTGCTCCAAACATCCCAGCTGTTGACCATCTGGCCTGCCCGATTGCTTGTGTGTACAAGCAGGTCTTGGGGTCGAAGCTTCTCTGTGTGTGTAAGGCCATGCTCTTTCATACACATCATTGCCTTTGAACTCCTCTGGTTGATTGCCATACTATTGTCATCCACCAACCTTTGTAACTCCAATGCCCAGGCTGGCTTAGCCATGGCTCTTCAAGTGAAGCTGGATGGAGCTTTTGTTTGTCTTGCTTCTAGTGAGCTGACTTTGCAATTCATCTCCAAAAAATTCATGTGGGCCCAATGCCCAACACCATGAACCATGTGGTGTGCACAACACCTGGTGTTTGAGTGTGCTTGTTTTTTCCACACATTGTGACTTGAACCACCAAGCCACACACGCCAAACTTATAAGTGCCTGCATGGGCAAAACCTTGCATCAGCTGGTAACCAAAAGCATTCATTGAGCATACACCTGCTGAATATGCCTTCATGGGCAGAAGCTTTCATCAGCTGGCAAACCAAAATATTCATATAGTGAGCATACATTTGCTTAAGATGAAATCAGCTTCCAATGTTGAAACAGCTTGTGCAAGCTATATCTTGCCTGGTACAAAACCACAATTTTCTTTTAGTGAAAACTTGAAAACCTCTAGCTATCAAGCATAAAACAATGTTGCTAAAATTGTTTTTTTATATTTGTATCTTACATTACTTTTTACTAACTTCTTTAAATTTGTATGACAATTAAACATGTTAATGTAAAAGTTAAAAAACATTAGATAATTCACTTAACCAACAATAAATTTTGTAGCAATTATAACATGTTATAACAAGTTATAACACCTTGTTAGTGAGTTATAATAGCCTTATAGTGTATGTAGTAATAGTCTTAACAGCCATAACTCAGTAGTAAAACCAGCAGCTTCAAAGCAGGTGTCTTGATGGTGGTCATATATTTGATATATGTTGCGTTGCGTGATGACTGGAAGCCTTGTCAAGTGGCATGGAAACACTTTGGAGAACATACTGTAAGTATTAGCTACCCGTGGTCAAGAGAAAAACTTGGTAGAGAGAGAGATCTCTAAATGGAGCAATCATTAGCAGTTTGTGTCGACATGTGTGTGCCAATCGCTACCCAGACTCTGCACGAGAACTAGACTATTGGATACTATTGGGACTAGCATGCAGACGTTTGGAGGTACTCAAACGGTGGCTGCACGCGACAAGCGCACCTGTTTGTTTCAGTTTCCATGTGCAAACTAAACTACCCTTTTAGGCCCCAAAGCACTGCTTACAGAAACTGTAGAGTTCGTTATTCTCACAGCTGCCGACAGCAAGTGGCATGGTTTTGCGATTTTGAGTCACGCAGCCAACCAGAAAGATTCCACAGCACTTGATGAGCGACGTATCAATTTATCCATACTTATCCTGCTTGGTATGTAAGTGGTTATCCCTGGTGATCTAGCACGACACACTGCTTTGGTCACGTGAATGGTCTCGAGGGGGACTCAATGAGCTGTGAGGCACTTGCAAGAGCATAATATCTCATATTACTCATATTTGTATAGCTTGCAGCTTGCCATTGATGGTGCACCGCTTCTTCGAAAAATGCATACAGCAGCCTGATTTTCAATGTGGTATGACAGTGCACCCTCACCCAGCAACACACACAAGGTTTGTAGAAGACTGTTGGACTGTTGGGGTTAACCCCTCGCTTCATTGTTGATACCGATATGTTGAACTCAAAAAGCAGATTTCTCAGTTTGGCAAACTTATTCCACCTTCCTGTACATACTAGTTACTAGTGCTTCTAGGGTTGCATGTTAACCGTGGTTACTTCCAATGGATGGTTACAACACTTATTTATTCTCTATACTTGTACCTTGCGCAAGCTCTATACTTGTACCTTGCGCAAGCTATTTGTTTGGAATGCAGCAAGTGCTCCATGTTCAGTTTTATGTTCTCACGTCAGACAAAATTAATATATCAGAAGCAGCAGGAGGATAATTGGGCTGCCCAGAACATGTTCCGCCAGCCGCCCACCTACCTCACATCCCGAATCTTGTATTCTCCGAGGTTTGCAATGGATCCTTCCTGTTCTTGTTTTCCTAAGATAGTATATATTAGATGGGGCTGAGTCCCAGTAACAGTTCAACAAGGGATTTTTATTAAGTGTGTTCATGAAAACGAGCACCAGCGAATTGCTGGAAATGGCTCTTGGTTTTGGGACATTTTGGTCAATGAATTGCTGGGGTTGACCCAGATTGAAAAGTTTAGATCTCACCATGATCAGAATCATACCTCACTTCACCCATCCCCTGCCCCATACCCAGTGCCCTTCTGTAAGGTGTATATGTGTGTGGGCCTTGCAAATGATATAAGATGGTGAATGCTTGTCTTGCTTGTCCACCACTGTCAAAGGTCATGGTGGGGTGATTTGACGAATTCGAGCACCAGATTTGACGAATTCGAGCACCAGATTTTCCGAATTCGAGCACCAGATTAGACGAATTCTAGCACCAGATTTGGCGAAATCGAGCACCAGATTTGACGAATTCTAGCACCAGATTTGACGAATTCTAGCACCAGCCAGAGCACAATTTTTGCGCCCGTGTGTCTCCGCTTTGCCCGCTCTGGCACCAGCCCGACCACTGGGCTTTGCGAAATCGAGCACCAGCCAGAGAAATTGAGCACCAGATTAGGCGAAATCGAGCACCAGATTTGACGAATTCTAGCACCAGATTTGGCGAAATCGAGCACCAGATTT